CGATGTACCAGGAAGCCGAGAAATTTTCCTGCTTTTAATTCGAAGGCACATTTTAGGGGGTTCATGCGTAGGTTATACTTTCGGCACCTTTTGAATACTCTTCGCAAGTGTGTCATATGGTCCTCCTCCTTTCACGATTTTACAACAAGGTCATCGACATAGTTTTTCACAATATCATGCATCATATCATGTAAAATCGCAACCATAGCACGTTGTTAGATCACGCTTGCATTTTTTCAGTCCAAAAGGCATTACTGTATAGTAAAAGTTATCGAAGGAGGTTCTGAAAGTAGTTTTTTCTGCATCCTCCTTGGCCATCTTGATTTGATTGTACCCCACAAACCCATCCATGAAAGACATCATCTCGTGCCCTGAGGTGGCCTCGATGAGAATGTTGACATTTGGCAATGAAAACTTGTCTTTCGGGCACGCCTTGTTTAAGTCCCTAAAATCTACACATATCTTGATGGCCCCATTTTTTTTCTTGACAGGCACTATGCTTGACAACCACATAGGGTGTTGAATAGGCTTGATGAAGGTAACCCACAATAGCTTTTCCAACTTTTTCTTGATTTTTATCATCACCTCAGGGGCGTAGTTTCGTGAATGTTGTTTGACAGGCTTGTCTGAGGGACGGATGTTTAACTTGTGACAAACCAGATTTCAGTAGTGTCAAGAACGCCTGCCTTTTTCTAGGGATATCCCCATGTAGATGAAGACTGGCCGCAGTGATTCCCCAAGTGGGGCAAGGTTTTCTTCCTTGAGCTCCTGCTCTTGTAGCTTAGGGCGATCCTCCATGCATTCTGGCACAGGGACCATGTTAGTGCGCGTCGCGATGATGTTAGTCTCTGCTTCATGCACCTCATTTCAAGGAATCACCTTCCCAACCTCGTGAGTGGTCCCCCTCACATCATCATAACTGGTAAGTGACTCGCCCATCAAGTAGGACACGATAGATACATCTCTTTGGAGCCACCTCCCGTGAGGGCTCTTTAACTTGCCTTTTTCCTTGGGCCCGTTCTCTAAGCCTTTCTTTCACACTAACCCTTTGCAGTGTTACATAGACTTCTCGCTGAACCTCCACCTAGGAAGGGATAGGGAAGGACAAGGGTTGTTGTAGCAGACTGGCGGCTTCATCATCTTCGGCCACTTCAACATATAGTATTTTCTCTGCTAAGTGTGCCTCATTGCTGCTAAAGGGGTCCTTGGTCATGGGTATCATCACTTCTTTTCCATTCCAATCCATCTTTATGCACTGATGATACGTAGAAGGGACCGCTCCTAGATCATTCATCCAAGTGCGCCTTAGGAACGCATGATAAGTTGTAGGAGCATTGATCACATGGAAGGTCAGGGTACCCTCACCTTCCCCATGACCAAAGAAACAGTGACATACTCGAGGGTCCTTCTCTTGTCGTTGACAAATTCAGCGATGATAGTCATTTTTCTGACGAAACTTGACTCGCGAAGTCCAAGTTACTCATATGTGGACAAAGGCATGACATTGACTAAGGCCTCATTGTCCAGAAAAGTTCCTTTCAACTGTACCGCATTGATCTTGGTGGTGACATAGAGCGAGCAATTATGCTTCTAGGGTACTTGGCGATCCCGCTCTGTGAAGGTGATGGCATTAGACTTTTTCTTGATACTGCGGGACACTAAGCCTTTCGTAGCCATGCACTTTTTGGGGCTTGAGGGGCCATCAGTGCATAAGTTTATGATGGCCTTGGTGGCTGCCAATCTGCTACCATTAGTAAATCTCAACTGATTAAAAAAATTTTTGAACTTGACTATTTCCTTCAAGATACATGCACTCGCGTAGTGGTCAATCTCTGGCACATCATGGCAATCTTCTAAGGTCTCTCGATTTAACTAAATTTCAGGCCACTCTTCAAAGTTACCTTCTGTTATATCTTCAATTTCATCGTAGAACGACACCATGTGCACCTCCTTACCTTCTTCATGGTCTATGAGGGGTCAATCATGGACATTGCCCCCAGCACCCATCAGTACTAACTCTCCGCTCTTTAAGCGCTTCTGAAATAGTCGGCACACAGTCTAGCAATCCTTAAGATTGTGCTTGGTGTGGTGATGAAATTCACAGAAGTTTGGGCTATTTTTTTCTTCTCTAGTTGGCTTATTTTCCACTAGTGGTAGCTCAACATCATCGTTCTTAATCCATTCCATGAGAATCTGTCTGATTTCCTTCATACCACAAGGATACGGAGGTGGCTCCTCGGGCTTGGAGGCTCTCCCTCGCTTCTTTGGACACTAACCCCCCTTTTGGGACCTCCTTAGCAACTGCAACAGTTGTTCCTTTCCTCTTGTCCTTCCAATCGACTATCTTCAGGGAGGGTTGGACCACCTCCAAAAGACTTTGAGTAGATTCTCATAGTCTGGTAAAGGTTTTAAAGTCACTGTTCACCAAGTATGCCTTTTATTTGTTATACATTCCTTCTATGCAAATTTGGACAAGGGCCTCTTCGGTGACATTTCATGGCACTCGATGGCTTTGTCACGGAACTTGTTGAAGTATGTCATCAAAGCTTCTCCATCATCCTAAATAGTGTTCGTCAAGAAAAGTATTGTAGTACGTTGCTCGACATGAAAAATTTTTGCATAGAATTGTGCGACTAAGTTGTCCTAATCCCTCATTGATTCTGCCAGAAGGTTAGCATACCAAGTGAAGGTCCTGTCCTTGAGGGACTTGGAAAATTCCCTCATCCAAAAAGGCTAATGGAGCACATAGTGGCCAAGGCTATCAAGATAACGGGTAAGGTGCTCCTTGGGATTGCCATTTTTTTCATTGAACTTCTCGAACTTCGGCGATGAGTACCCTGCAGGATACATAGCTTGCTGCACAACTGGGATAAACTTAAACCTTATGTCCATGGTTGTTGGCATGAGCTCCTTCTGTTTATCTAGTAAGGCTTGTACTTGGGCTATCGTGACAAACCCAGCCCTAGGCGCTGGTCGTTCTGTGCTGGCCAAAAATGTTGATGGCATGGTTGTGGGGACAGTGAAAAAAATAGTTCGAACCCATACTTGGGTAGTTGTTGGTGCTGTTATAGAGATGGTGAGAGGAGTCATTTGGGAAGCTGCGAGGCCATAATTGTAGCCAGTAGCAGCGTGCTCACATCCGAGAACTATTGGAAAGTTTAGGAGAGGTGCACCAATCGTGGTTACGGGTCTAGCCGTAGTGGGTACCTCAAAGGTTATGACATTTTGAGCGACCGTTATAGTTGCTTGCTGTAGGGGAGTTAAAGAACCCGTTGCAGTAGTTTGTTGCAAAAGTGATAGATGGTTGCCTGTGGTAGTTTGCTACGAGGGAACTAGGGGGTTAGTTGCATCAATTTGCAGCGGAAATGGTAGGGGTTCACTAGTAGGATTTTGCAAAGTTAAACTATAAGGGCTTAACTTTCATGATGCACCATTATCGCCCGATAGTGCCATTGGAAGAGATGTCGACAAAGTCGAAGGAGGTGGTACTGGGTACTACTGGAGCAATGGCAAGAACATCGGTGGATTTTGCAAGCCAGGTGGTCAAAAATACATCTGAGCTTAAATTATCTGCATTATTGCAGCTTTCTATTATTGTAGAGTTTGTATATCGAGCAGAGCTTCACTATTGTGGAGTGTCCTGGCACCTCCAGAGCCTTTCAGCTCGTAGAGGAACCGTGGCTATCCTCAAGTAGTGTGTTAACGAATGGACGAACCAGTTGGACAGAGGATAGGTGAAAAATGCTCTCACCAGCCAAAAAATTATCCAAAAAATCCTCCTCCGCAGTGGGCAAGTAATATAGGCATTTATAGCATAATGCCCGGGTAGGTCGGGCTACCCAAAGGGCTGCCCACCGCGACCCCCTATCACCCGTGCAAACCCACAACCGCCTCGACCACGACGATAAAAGTAGTCATTAACTCGAGTCATGCATCATAACATTAACTAGACAGATGTGATGTTTCCCAAAACATAACCTGGACATGGCCCTAAGGAAGGTGCAACAGTCAAGGTGAGAGCGGGCTCCCAAGGTTCGCGACTAGTCACCGTGGGACCATGACATCGAGAGGGCCATGTCCGTGATTCCCCCATCGCGCTCCTACCCGGGGTCTTTTTTTCATTCTCTAGACCCTTCCTAGAAACCTTTGTCGAGGTGCTCAATAGAAGAAACTCACATAGTTTCGATTTTTCAGCCATCAATTCACATGTCCCATCATTCCATATGTTGACCAAAACCAATAACCCTAGTTACCTTAGGAGTCTCTCCAGATCCCAGCCAAGCGCATCTCAATAGGTAGTGAGCCATACATTGGGAGGCTTGCGCGAACAGACTAAACCTTCGAGACCCTACCCCAGGCCGAGGTTGACAATCGTGCTCGTCTACCCCCATTGCTCAGTTCTCCCTTGAGGAGGGCCATACTTCCCTGTCCCTAGGTGGGGACATCTCCTCTTAGTCCAATGGGTCAATCGAGCAACAGTGTCCAACAGGTTGAGGATACCACTCCCGTAGTGGGGGAGACGAGTTTCGTCGAGGTTGCCCCATACTTCTGCGATTCCACTTTTGTCCATCATTGGTGAAGGGTCCACTTTTTCACTTCCAATGCGATGGGGATGTATGTCGCCTTGTTGCAATGTTGTGCCTGAGGGCGTCGCGCCTAAAGTGTGTTGCGCCCAAGGGTGTCGTGCATGAGTGTCATGTCTCGGGCATCACACATGGCATTGTTATCTACACCAGTCCAATTGATGCTGTCAAGTGCCATTTTCATATCAATTGATAATTGTTATCACTTATCTTATTATGGTGAAGACATGTGTCTTGAAAGTTTTGAGTACTACAAGCATTACTATAGTTTTCTAAACAATTTGCTTCCGGTAATAAAGTGTAGGAGATAAGAAATTAGAGAGAGAAATGGGCTTACTTTTCTGACTAAAAAGTTGGTCAACCAAATGAAGGGTTTAAGAACAATCCAAAAACCCACATGTTTTAGAGTGTGGTCAAATGGCGCAGACCACATTGGAACCCAGATCTTGCAGGTGATGTAATGGCCGTTTACAATGTTGTCTCTTCTTACTTTAAATTGTAATTCGTTTGGAAAGTACTGTCTTTAGTGGACAACCAAGAAAACCTGTAATTTAGTGGTTGGAGGACGCTTTTTAGTTGCCGTAGGCCTCTGAAACTCTATTTTTGGCTTGATATTCCTTCATGATATATATCAGCTTCAACTGAAGAGATCTTACAAAGTGGCGACGTTAGAGACGGAAGAAGGAGGAGATTAATAGTGACGCAAAGATACTTGATCTCATCTCTGCACACGGCACGCATGCATGTAATCAGTAACTATTCAAGCATCTTCAAAAAAAATTCAAACTTTTATCCAAATTTGAATAAAAAAAAAAGGGTATAAACAACTTATTTTGGTATAAACCTCTCTAATAAAGAAACTCAAATTTAAGAAAAATATAACCATTAGATCTTTAAGGGAAGATGAAATTTTACCATTAAAAATTTAGGCATGTGTTTGAGTCTCTTTTGATTTGAGTAAAAAAACAAATATGCTTTTTTTGGGAAGGTAAATAAACTTCATTCATCTGTGTAATTCCATATATGGAAAATACTATATAATTTAAATAAAATATAAAAATTAAAACTTAAATGCATATCATTTCTTGGACAAGTATGAGATGAGTAGGCTCCACTGGAAAAAAATTGATAAAATTCACTTATCTGTGGAATGATATGTATCTGTATTTCAATTTTTTGAGTTTTATTTAAATCTTGTAGCATTACTCTTCCATGTACAAAGATAATTGTTGTACTCTGAACAAAGTGTACAAAAAGTCAAAAACTAGCACAAAAACATCACCTAAGGGTGTATATGTAACGAGTGTGTTGTTAGTGCCCAGCGCCTTAGCAGATAGCTGGAATATGCAGCAGCATTTGGTTTTTCCTTGAATTCTTGAATTTTAAAGATTCATCAATATTGTTGATGTTTAATTTAGAGACATAATATATTATTAAGGATCGTGTAGACTCCGTGTGCAGATAAGAACAAGAAAAAAGATGTAGAAGTGGAAGTGGAAGTGGAAAGAACTTAGAATATATAAAGCTAAATGGTTAAACGTAGTCGGAGGAAAAGTTATAAGCTATTAAATAAAATAATATATGGAATATCAGTAATTGATTTTTACTTAACTACTAATACCTTTAACTACCAATAAAAAGAGAGGACACTAAACCTCACATTGTCTTTTTCTTAATAGTATAGATTATCGTTGAACACATAGAAGGATACAATTTATGGATCTAATGTCTTATTATGGTTTATTGAGAAGTGGATTTAATATTAAGCGGAGTCCACTATCCCAACAATAATGTATTAGGTTCTCAAATTAAACAAAATTGTATTGTTATATTGTTTAATGTGATTTATTGACCTAATTAACCTACCGTGTTATTGTAAATTAAATACAAAAAACATAATAGCATTCGTAAAATAAAAAAAAACCAAAATTAGTTGTATAGTATTCTCCGAGGTTGTAATGCGGTTCTTCACGATGAACCAATACGAGAGAGAGAGAGTCTTATCCCCAACTATAAATTAGACCTCAGCAAGGACCCATTGTGCAGAAGTCATTGTGCTTTGCTTCCCTCATTATGGTTCTCATAATTATCGCGATTATATTAAGTCTATTGGGCAATGACATAAGACTAGTCCATGGAGACATAGGCACGGCCACTTCTTATGATCCTCCATATGCACGTAAGTTCATCCAGATCTGTATATACATGCATAACAAGCTCAAGCGGAAAGAAAAAATTGTTCTCAACTTGAAGAAAATAAAACCATCCATCCACAAGAAAATTTTACCCTATTTTTCTTATATTACGAAGAATCATCCCAAAAACAAAACAGAAGGTTGGTTGATTTTGACGTTTACTTATTCAATTTTTGTGTAGCTACCAAGTGCAATGGCAACAGAGCTGATCAATTCCCACCATGAAATCTATTTGTTGCAGTGAGTGAAGGGTTGTCGGATAATGGTGCAGCATGTGGCTGGCGTTACAGAATAAGGTGCTTGAGCGGCAATAACAAGCCATGCAAGGATGGCACTGTTGACGTTAGGGTGGTCGACTTCTGCCCTAGAAGGCCATGCCCTGCAACTATTATCATGTCGAACGATGCTTTTGCAGCCATTTCTAACTCCCCTGATGCCAAAATTAACGTGGAATTCATCCAGTACAAAAAAAAAACACACCCTTCTCTCTGTTCTTCCTTTATCTTGTTTTCCTTATTCGTCTTCTTGTAACATATGAAATTGTTGAATTTTTGCAGGATTTGACATGAAACATGCAAATATCAAGCCCTGATCAGTGTGATTTACAAAAGAAGGAAAAAAGAGTTGGATTCTAAAATAGATGATTCTGTAGTAGATTTTGTAAATGAATGTTTTTTATGTATCATGATCATTAATATTTGGTTTTATATTTGGCAATACATTTTGAAAGCCAAGTTACCTATGAGATCTGATAATTTCTAGATCTGATAATTTCTGCACCTACTGTAATTAGTTCTCTGACTTGGTTATTGGTGTGCATTTCTGAAGCTAGAGTAACTAATAAAATACTATTCCTGCAATAAAAATTCTTGTTAGACAAGGGTTGGCGGAGGTGTTGGTGATGTTGCAGCTATGGTATTTGTGGTGGTGGTGGTGGTGCAATTTTGGGTGGTGATGTAGTTAATGGGTTAACATAACCTATTTTAATCTCAGGCCGTTATAACTCATTTATTACGTTGGTTAAAAATGAGTTGAAAACCTTTAGAGTGGTACAGTGGTCAAGTTTGCACTCTTACAAACAAAAATCTCAGGTTCGATTTTCTTTCTATATTCCCCAAGGGTCAATACCTCCTCAAGGTCTCTTTAAACTAACTTAAGTTAAAATTGTTGACTTAAAATTCGAGAGAATAATCAACGCAAACTTAAATACTCTGTAACCAAAAAAAAAAAATGAGTTGGGAATTGAAATTGATTTAGACCCATGTCATTATTCATCCATCCATCCATTTCATTTTTATTTTTTGTTATAGGGTGTCTAGTCTTGTAACAACTATTTCTTCAACGATTGTAACCGTGTCTTGAACTAAGTTAAAACATGTCAATGAGGAACAAGTATGACTGAAAATAATATCAAATTATCTGCCCATCCATTTGTCACTGTTAAGCTCACCTCTAAATTGATAATACTACTTGTACCTAATTTATGGAATTAATTTATAGAATTAATGAATTGTGATCATTGGATGGATTCTAAACTTCATTAAATAATGTTTTTTACTATCAATACAATGATTATAATGCATTAAATTCTCAAATTTAGTCCCAATAATATTGTTCCCTCAAAAATATAAGAGTTTTTTGGAGGCTAGTCCCTAGGCTCAATAAGATTCCAAAAAAATACTCAGTTGCGAATTTTCTTTTGAATTAAGTTCTTGTTGAAAAGTCAAAGCAATAGACATAACTAATGTCATTTAAAATTGCAAAAAATAATGATAATATCATCACCTAATTTAAACATCTATTTTAGAAAGCTACTTCATCATAATATACATCTTTCTCCATAAATACAAATTGTAGACAGGTACACAGTTATTATCAGACAGATACACTAATCTTCTCCACAAACACAAATCATCGTCAGATTGTCAGATTGGTACACAAACATATACACAATAAAAATATACATTTTTATATAAGAACACAACTTATCATATATGACGAACAACATTCATGATCATTTAGGTACATTAAAAAAATATATACATTCACAAGATAGGTACATCAGTATTCAATTGAAAAGAAGTTACATATACGCTATTATAAGTACACAAGTACATAAAACTAGAGACAATTCAAATTTAAGGATTTATCTATCTAAATACATACCCATAAGATGTAGGCATCCCAAAGTTGCGTTCAATGTTCTCCTTTGTATTTCTACACTTCTGATAACCCATAAACATATAGCTTCTGCCATTTATCGTTCCAAGACCAGTGACAATAGCAAGATCATAATCACCTGCTCAATTTCTGTGTAGCTCTACAAATTGGACATTATGAGGGTAGAACTAGGAAAGCTAATCCTCCACCACCACCCACACTTCTCCATCACAGTCCTTGTCACAACCATGGCCTCTCCCAAATCTATCCATTACTTCATGTATCACTTGCATCTCTCAAATTTTGAGCTAGAATCATGAGATAAGGACAAAATAGATAATAAATATAAAATAACTGCTCAACCCCACCAACACAGAGACACCAAAGTTTTTAAAAATAAGGAGAACCTTTTTATATACTAAAAATCTGCTAGGACTAAACCTACTTTACACACTAAAAGAGGGACCTTAGCTTAATTTACTAAAAATATAATGATATAGTGAGGGACTAATGAACCCTTTGGGTGGATTTGGGGGGCACATAACATCCTCTACCCACACTATTGGGCTATATCTAAATAGGGTTGGGTTCGGGTTCTAATATACAAAACGGGCTGTTTGGTGTGACAGCGATGGGCTGGAGTTTGTACAGCAGTGGAGTTGCTGGTGTTTGGGCAACAGTAGTTAGCTTTATCCCCTTAGTTTAATTTGTTTTCCTGCTCGACAATGAATCTAGCCTATTGATAAAGAAAATAAATAATTGCGCATTTATGCGACCAGTGAAACTCGACAATATAAAACTTGGGTACGGACTAGTTCTCAATCCTCAACTTTTGTCATTGGATTGCGACATTTGAGTACAAAAAATAAAATCTAGAACATCTACTGCATCAGGCATGAGGTTTCTATACTATTACCATGTTAATACCGGTAGTAAAACATAACACCCATTTCCCTTTTATTTTATTTTTTTTGGTTTAATGGTCAGAGGTGTCCGAATTAATTTACGCATATTTTAACTAATTTCCTCCCCTGTTCGGTAAAAAGCGGGTCATCTACAACATAATTATAGTATTCATGAAAAATAATTCCCTCATAACCTAACCCCAAGAGATTACCAGGATACTTCCCTACTATTTACAAAACATAACTCATTATATGTTTTTTTCAATAGGCATCATTGCTTTTGGTGTCCCAAATAGATACAATGTTGTTTGAACCTAATTTATTGATATAATTTATCGACCTAATCATTTAAAATTATTGGATTTACAGTATACCCTGGTATTTAATAAAATCCGCTACCAATTCAATCGTTATGATAAATTATATCAATAAATTAGGTCCAAATAACAATATTGTCAAGACAATGTTGTTTGAAGTTCTGTATTATTTGTTTGAAATTACCCCTATTTCTTTATTTGTTTAAAAGTAGCCCTATTTCTTTGGCCCCAAGTAAAGAGAGATCTCCAAATTTCAACAACTAAAAAGTCAGACCAATTACGTGGGAAACATCTACCACATTTTTACTTGGCTCCCAAGAAATAATCCGTTGGACATTTTCAAAGGGGTCAACTTCAACTCTTTGGATTTGAAAAATGCTAAGCAGCATTGTTGTTTGGATATTTGGCCTACAGTTCTTACAACTCACACTATATATATTTGGAGTTGTGAAGAACGTCGTCAGCCAACACCATTTGAAAAAGGAAAGAACAGAAAAATGGTGTCTTTGAAGCTGCAGAAGCGGCTAGCAGCCAGCATACTCAACTGCGGCAAGGGAAAGGTTTGGATAGACCCAAACGAGACGAGTGATATGTCCATGGCCAATTCTAGTATGTTTAACTCTCTTTTAATTCACTTGATTGCATTACTTCTGATTCTATCAACTACAAAACCATATCAATCATTGCTCAATATTTTTTTCGTTCAGTTGTTATAACTCAATTAGTATGGTTTGGTTCAACGGTAGAACAGGCCAGGCATAAACTCATGTCTCAATTTGAGTTTTAGTTACATGAAATCCATATTTAATTGATGCACGTGATTCGTAGATAATTGCATGCATGCGAGATAACTGCAATCATAAGTCCAAAAAATACATAGCTACAATGATTGCGTATTGCCCAAACATAAAAGAAAAATGTCTTAAGTCCCATAGATGCAAGAATCATCCATTAAACTTGTGTAATCAATCAATTATAAGAGTTAATTTTACTCATTAATGCAAATACGCAATGGAATCGACACAATGTTATGTGAAAACGATGCAACCATTTAACATTAATAGTATAAGAGTGGGTTAGTGTTAGGCACAACAAATAAGCTGCTTAGCTAATATTTTACGAATAAAATTAGTATTTTTTTTTAATTTTTCATTTATTTATCCTGTAGAGTATGCATTATTTTAGAGTAATATAATATTCATACGAGCACAAAACAGCTTGAAATAACACATGTAAATAGTACAACACAATTTGACTGACACCCGTAATAACTATGCACAAATAGTCACTCACCAAAATGAGGGTTGCATTAGTTAAGAATGATGTGCAATAATGCATAATTATTTGCAGGGATGAACATAAGAAGGCTCATAAAAGATGGCTTCATCATCAAGAGACCTACAAAAGTACACTCACGATCTCATGCTCGAGAAGCCATGGACGCAAAGGGGAAGGGAAGGCACTCTGGACAGGGAAAGCGAAAGGGAACAAGAGAAGCAAGGCTACCAACGAAGGTTGTTTGGATGAGAAGAATGAGAGTGTTGAGGCGCTTGCTGCGAAAGTACCGCGAATTTGACAAGATTGACAGGCACATGTACCACGACATGTACATGAAAGTGAAAGGCAATGTGTTCAAGAACAAGCGCGTCCTAGTGGAGAGCATTCACAAGCTGAAGGCCGACGAAACCAGAAAGAGAACACTATCTGATCAGATAAAGGCCAAGAGACCCAAGAGCCATGCCATTATTTAGATGAAAATCTCCTGGAAGTGCAAAAATCTGTCATATGACAATAAGCATTACATATGTTAATTTGTATTTTTATTTCTACTTTTTTTTTTAATTTTGTTTTTGGGTGGTTGATGGTTTGGAATGCTTTGTAGATACTATCATTGAAGGCTAAGAGCTTTTGTTAATTTGTATATTCTCTGGGTGGAAATACTGAATGTTTTCTTTGTGATGAGAATTCTTAGATAAGTTCATACTATGTCATGTTTTCCTCATTATATTTTATGCGATTCTTATATTTTTTCTATTATACTTTTATTGAATTTTACTGAATAATAGATCATCTGTCGCATATGAGAGAGGAGCCAACTTCACTCGTTTTCTAATTGCTCTCATAAATGACTTTTAGCCATTTTTTATTTAAATTTCGGATTGAATACAGGTTGAACCTAATTTCGTAAATTGGCATTAGGTTTGGATTGAACTCGTCTCCAACCCAAGTATTGCCTAAATCCAATTTAGGTTAGGATTTTTTGTGTAAACCCAACCCAAATATATAAAAGTTCAACCAAAGTACTAAAAATTTTGAATTTAACTCAAGTTTGTGTGCATACCTACTAAACCGATGCCTCAAACGAAAAAATATTCTACACAAAGAAATGGTGATTTATTTATATTTAGCATCAAAAGACTTGTAAAACCAAATAATATTGTATATATTCACGCTCAAAAAAAAAAAAACCAAAGAGCTGAGTGCTGAAATTATCAGAGTTACAATTAGTTGAGGCCGGTTTGACTACGAACCGATGCCCCCAAATAAAAGCAAATGCCCAGAGTAGCAGATTTTCTAAGGTCCATGCACCATATAATCCAAAGTCCCCTGCAACAGTCACTTGCATGCATTCTAGGGGTGTAATTTGGGTGGATCAACCCGACTTCAACCCAAGTTCAACCCGAAAAAAATAACAGGATTTGGATTAAAATTTTTAATACTTGGATTGAGTCTGAGCAAAAAAACTCCAACTCGAATTGAATTTGGACAAGTCTCGGATTAAAGTCTCAAGTTGTCGGATTCAACCCGAATATTACAATAGAGTTGAACCCGATTATTAAATCGGGTTGCACCCGAATATACATAAATATATTTAATTAGAGTTAATATTTATTTTCACTCTTTAGAGTCAAGATTTTCATTTCACTTTAAGTCTTCACCTCTGCGCTTCCATCACTCTCAAATCTCTCTCTCACTCGTCACTCCTACCTCTCTCAATATTCACTCGTCTGAGTCGTTTTAGACTCTCAGCCTCTCTGTCCCACTTGTCACTCCTCTTTCTCCTTTCATCTCAAATCACTTAAAAAAATTAAATTTACACTTGAAAAAATCAAATCTACACTTCAAAATATCAATCCGAATTAAATAACTCAAGCCCAACAAGATTCTTAACCCAAAATCAACCCGAATTAAGTAACTCAAATTTAACCTGAATCCATCCGAATTAAACTCGGACAATACTTGAGTTGAATACCTCAGATTGAAATAAGATTAAAATTGAAGATTATACATCTAGGATTCACTGCTCAACCGCCGAGTTGCACCCCCTTAAGCATTCTCCATTTGTATGGCACTTTCAATCATATCTCTTAAATACTACTGTCAAACTAGAACACGTACTGAAGTTGGAAGACTGTAACCCTTTTTTTTTTTGACCAGATGGAAGACGGTAACGTGAATTTTTTTCTGTTCCTCAAATTTCTTGGGACCCCACCATCGAAAATGGGGCCAGTATCAACCAAATATAAAACAACTTATGAGTTTAGTGCATAGTTTTAAATAATGGTAACAGTCACCATGACAAGAACATTAACAGTATCACAAATGCGAGTGTAATTGGCGATAATAATAGTAACAGAAATTAGAAACGTAATTATATTTTAATTTACACATTTCCTAACAATGAATACTGACACATTTTTTTACATCAGAATATGATCAAACAAGTTGAAATAAGTTAGATTCAAATAAATGCAGCCATGAAATGTGGGGAACAAAAAAAATAAAAAGAAACCTAAAGATACCACACATACTGTCCCATGCTCCACTCCTGCCTCGGACTACTACGTACTTATGTATACCATAAGGGGGAGTTGACTAGGTATAGAAAAAGAATCCTGAAGATACAACTATACTGTACTATATACTACATATCATTGTCGTGCTACCTAAAAAATAGTAATAATAAAATATTAATAATATAATAAATATAAAAATACCAATAAATGTGGTAAATCACTCACAAAGTGATAATTTTTTTGTATAAAAAAATGATAAAAATAGTTATTATAAATGTGATAAAAATACCCACAATAATAATAAATCAACCACAAAATGTGATACATTTTTTGAATATAAAATAACTTACAAAAATTATAAAAATATAATTTAAAATAATAAACTTTAGAGATACCATAACAAATTTTTTTCAAAAAGTAAGTAGCAGAAGTCAGGTTGATCACTCATTGCCATATAAATTCAACATAATCACTCTACCCAAGGCAATAGCTTTTTCGGCTGTAGATAACCTCCCTGGTCTTTTTTCTTTTTATTATTAAAAATAAATATAAAGATAAGTCACTTACATATTCATTAGAGATCTCTTAGCACCACAAAATTTTAAAATAGATTTTATCGAACCTATGTCATGTTGAAATTAAGGTCCCATTATGTCCTCTAGACATTGAAGAGTAAATTTAATTTCACCAAATTGTCATAGCCAAGTAACCGTTCTAGACTTTAAATAGTCAAAAAAATCAAGTTTTTACCCATTAAACCAACTGCTCACTTGTAACCTCTATGATCTTTCAAATTGCAATTCTAGGAGCAAAATGGCATCCATGGGAGAGGGGTTTCTTGGGCAGGTCCGGCTCTCCTATTTTTTGGAATTTATCTTTTGGTTTTTTAATTTTTTTTTTAGCGTTTTTAAGTTGATGTCTCTTAAATATTAAATAAATCTTTTAAACACAATCAATTTAATTGTTAATTTACTGACGAACACGAAACAACACTCGTATTAGAGCATGATACGTGGACATGAACAATGAAACATCGATGAGATAATCGATCTCGAGAAAGGTATCTATGAGAACATGCCTGATGGAGCAATCAGTAAATGAGGTCGACAATATGTGTTTTGAGTCCAAAGACCGAACCTCAAGCAACAGTGGTCCTGTAAAAAAAAATTAAGAGTAGGGGATCGGTGTGGTCCCAGGTGAACCACCTCTGATACCAAAATCAACTTAGCAGAATAAATTATTTATCAAGTTTAAAGATAAAAAAAGAGAGAAAGTTTTCTCTCTAGCAATTTTCCCTTACCTTAACCTTTCATTTATGAGGGCTTTTATAGTGTGTGTTGAGAGTATTTTTAGCTTTGATGGGTAATGATTAGGAGTAATCATTCATGATTGAATGTGTACATAGTTATTGTCATGCAAGAGCCTCCATTTTTGGCTTGTCTCAGCATGGTGACAACCCACGTGTAGTGTCAGACATGCTATGCCAATTGTTAGATTCTTCCTAACTAGTCTCATATCGTTAGTGGTTGATGTAGGTTGGTTATCTTGTCAGTTGAGATTACTACTGTTCACCAAGCTCTAAAGTCTGGATTGAAGTAAGGATTATATCCATCAATACCTCCCCGTTTCCTTATGACCTCTTGGGTCGCTTAGGAATTTTATTCGATGGGTCCATTATCCTCGGAGCTCATTTTAGGCAATTGTGATGATTAACCTTGAATTTTGAAATGATTTTTTGGTGAATTTTTGACTTCCAAGGGGGGCACATTTAAGGCGTTGTCTTTTCAAACAAAGCACATTTGGTAACCGCTGGCACTTGTTGCCAAGTCTAGAATGGATCTAACCTTTAGGCTCCCCTCTATTGGATTAAACAATCTAGAGCTTTGGTGTTAGGTATAAGTATCCTTTCTTTCTCCTTTCTTTTCCTTTTTCCTTTGTTTTTGGGTTTTTCTGTCTTTGCTTCTAGACTCTATAGGAGATCGTTGTCCTATTTCTTTCTATCTTCTTTCTCCTTTATGAGCATTAAGCTCATAATAGTGTACAGTGATAATGGTCCTGAGAGCATCGTCAGCCCATACAACCCCCTCCTCCCCGATTTTCCTGGTAAGCCTTCACGTGAAACCCTCAACTTTAGATATGTACTTTTAGAGGGTTCTCCTAAGGAAATTGTAGAAGCTATCACCAAACGTCGTAACACCATTGTTCTTGTTCGAAAAGGTGTCATGTCAGGTGGGGCTAGTGAGGATATTATAGTGAGTTTTTTTTACCCAAATGCAGATTCAGAGCCTATTGAATCTGCGAGTCAAGGAGATGGGGGTTCTGAGTGATCTTTTTCTCCTTCTTTCAATATGTCGTCTCACTTGGAGGCACATGAAATAGAGCATCACTATACCGAGGATAGTGTGGTTTCTTTGAAAAATCGGTATACCTTGCCTAATTTTGTAAGGGGACAATTTCTGTCAGCGCACGAATGAGCTTACACTTCTTCGTATGAATAGGTTTGTATGCCGGAGTCAGCCCTACAGGCCAGACTTCAGTTCCCAGTTCCTTCTTTCATTAGGTTGGTTCTTTCATGGCTGGGATTGTCCCCTTGTCAACTAGTGCCTAAAGCCTGGAAGACCCTTACTAGTATAATGGCCTTATGGTATTAAGTAGTGGGGGCATCATTCTATTACTTTAGAAGAGTTTTTACATTGCTACAAAGTAAAAGACTGTACACAAAAAGGCTATTTCTACATGAGTACGCAGCTAAGGATCCTTCATTTGGTCTTAGGACTTCCTGATTCAAACCAGAATTGGAAGCCTTGGTTTTTCCTTTTGCTTGGGGATTGGGAGTTTGGCCCAGAGGAGGGACAGTCCGGAGATTGTGATTCAGTTCCCAGATTGTGGTCATATTAGTCCCTTCTGGTCAATTCCCTCTTTTGGGTTTTACATTTGCAATTTTTGTTAGCCATTTCCCTAATTATTGTCTTATTATTCCAACTCTTGATGTCAGAAGAGGAGAGTGAGTTCTTGCCCTAACTTTCTTTTGGGAAGTGATTTTTTAAAATTCATTTCCTTAACTTGTTTTTGAAATATTTTTTGGTTTAGGGTCTCTGGGTTTGCCTCTGGACAAGAAGGTCACAATAGCTCAAAAAGTAAAATTCCTTATAAGGGTGGACTTGCCCTCGGCAAAGAAGGCAAAGACTCCGAAAGGGGTAAGTCTGACTCTCGGGTCGGGGTTTTAGGTGAAACCCCCAAAATTATGGCGGTTGCAGCGATGAATAAAGGTCCTACCCCGGTGATTGAATTGTTAGGAAAATCGAGAACCACTAATCACTCAGCTATCTCTAAAAGGGGTCCCATAGAATTTAGGGTGACTATACCCTTAAATCCTGTAGTTAACCCTGTGAATTGGGTTCATAGCAAAATGTCCAGAGATTCAGTAGGGAAACTGAAGGAATTGGGCCCTCCAAAAGTTCACTCTTTAGCTTGCAAGAAGATAAGTGAGGTATTAATGTTTATTTTTCTACCTTTAACAGTTATTATTGCATACTTTTGGATCTTTTTTGTATTCATGGTAATTTGTTGAGCTCCTATCTTTGTTAACTATAGGGAACCAGACCTCTGGGCCCTTATCTCAAAGCTCCAAAAATCCAAAGCAGATATGAAATTTGATCTCCTCAACAATGACAAACTTCTGGAGAAGTTAACGAAGGAGAGAGATGTTTTCTCTAAGAAATCGGCAGTTGACACTAATCAGGCCATCACTTCTGAAAAGACCCTTCTGAAGGAGTTAGAGCATACCAGGGAGTTAGGAGAGAAGGTCAAGAGTCTAGAAGAAAAGGTTTCCGAGCTGACCCTTTTCCTTAGTGAGAAAGAAAAATAGATAACAGCCAGGGAGGCGAAGGTCATGGTTGACTATAAGGAGGGAGAGGAGTATCTTATGGATTTTGGCCAGGTGTACTCAGGAGGGTATGTATCTTTCTGAGTCCAAGCCACTGCCAAATTTCCAATCATTGACTTCAGCGTCATCCAGGTGGAGGCTGAAGGAGGAAATAGTAATATGGATGAGGCTGAGGAGTTGGAGACAAGGACTAGGAAATAGAAGGGATCGAGAATGAATAGGGCTTTTTTCTTTTGCTTATTTTCTATTCTCAAATATATTTATCCATTTCTTTTAATGAAAAATATACTCTTTTGCTCATTATGTGTTTTAAAAATATTCTAAGTTTAAATTTTCATTCGAGTGCCTGAAAGTTTAACTTTTGTTGTTCGTCATCCAAGATATAACATTATAGTCAAATTTTTAAAGTTAAAAACTATGCTAGAGCGTTCAGAATTGGAAGCATTTCTTTTCATGATCTGACCTCAGAGTTACAACATTGTGATCAAATTTGTCTAAGTTAGAAATTTTGCTAAAGCATTCGGGATTGGAAGCTTTTCTTTCCTTGATTCAACCTCAAGGCTCTAACATTGTGATCAAATTTGGCAAAGTTAGAAATGTTGCTAGAGTGTTTGGGATTGGAAGCTTTTCTTTCTGTGATTTTACCTTAGAGCTATTGTGGTCAAATTTGTCTAAGTTAGAAATTTTGCTATAGCATTCGGGATTGAAAGCTTTTCTTTCCGTGATCCAACCTCAGAGCTATAACATTGTGATCAAATTTCTCTAAACATTCTCCGAAGTAAAGCATACAAATTTAAAAGATTGGAAATCAAATATGCTTACTTGTCTCATTCGACTACTCACCAGTGATTCTGGTTTGTTGTCTTTATTTTTTGACCTTTTTGATTGTTTTACCCTGGTGGGAGCTTTCCTCTGAAGGTATTCTCTTGGTGGGCTCTTTCCTCGGTGGAAAATCACCTTTGTGTGCTTTCACCTCAGGAGGGCTTTCGCCTCGGTGGGCTTTCACCTTGGTGGGCTTTCGCCTTAGTGGGCTCTCTCCTTGGTTGGCTTTTTCCTTGGTGGGTATTTGCTTTTATAGGATTTTGCCTCGATCTTTGTGTTCTCTTACCTTGGTTGGTTTTCTCCATGGTGGGATCTTGCCTCGATTGGCTTTCGCCTTGGTCGGCTATAACCCTGAAGAGTTTTTATTCCTTGGTGGATTTCGTCTTGTTGGGCTCTCACCTCAATTGGCTTTTGCCTTGGTGGGCATTTTCCTTTATGGGCTTTTGCCTCAGTCTTTGTGGGCTCTTGCCTTGGTTTCTTTCTCCTTGGTCGACTATAGCCTTGAAAGGTTTTTGCTTTCGTCTATAGCCCTAGAGGGCTTTTTCCCTTTGGTGGGCGCTAACCTCGGAGGGTCTTCACCTTGATTCGCTTTGATAATAAGCAATGCGTGCAAATGAATATTGAACTTTTCATTACAATCCAAACAAGAGGCAAGTTACACATAGTACTTCTTAAGATGCTCAGCATTCCACGTGGAGAGAGTATTTTCCCTTGGAAGTTCCTTAATTGATAATTCTCTGGTTGGACTTCTCGAACAACGATGTACAGACCTACACAATTTGAGGATAACTTGTCTTTTTCTATTAATGACTTTTTTTTTTAGCACGAGCTCCATCTCTTTCACCCTCCTATTGTAATTGCAAGCAGTCTGCTGCGGGTAGAAAGCTATGTGGAGAGTAGCCAGGTCGCGATTTCTTCCAAGGCGTCAAGGTTTGTTCTCAATTCCCCTTCATTGACTCGGGGATCGTGGTGCTAGTTTTGAATGATGGAAGGCCTATTTCTGCTGCAATAACTACTTCAGTGCTAAACTTCAACATGAATAGATTCCCTTATGTGGCTTTTTTGGGGGTCGTTCGATATGCCCATAGAAATTCATGAAGGAGCTCAACCCATAAACCTTGTTTTTCTTCTAGCTTGGTCTTGATATTCTAAAAAAGTTTGTGATTGGTGACTTCGACTTGTTCGTTCGACTAGGGATGTCTTGGAGAGAAGAAATGGTTCTTTATTCCGAGGTTGAAGCAAAAACTACAAAAGCCATTTGAGTCGAACCTTTTTTTGTTGTCTAAAAATATAGCTTGTGAAACTCCAAATCGACATATAATGGATTTCCAAGCAAAATCTATGATTTTCTTTTCAAAAATTATGGCTAGGCGCTTTTTTTTTGTCCATTTAGTGAAATAATCAATAAATATCACCGCAAATCAATATTGACCCTTTCCTCACCGTAGGGGTCCCACAATATCGATACCTCACTGTGCAAAAGGCCATGGACTGGAAACTGAGCTGAGTTCTTGTGAAAGGACATGTTGGATATTGGAAAATCTTTGACATTTATCACTATTTTTTACAAATGCATGTTTATCCTTAGTCATCATGGGCCAGTAGTATCCTTGTTGTAGCACCTTGTGGGAGAGTTAGTGTCCTCCAAAGTGATTATCACAAATACCTTCGTGTATCTCCTTCAGAACATAGTTCGCCTCCTCTTACCCTAAACACTGGAGGTATAGGAAAGATTGATCATTGTTGTCTCGACCATCGAATCCAAGTCTTGTAGGCAGAGGCCCACAATTTTCCTCCAGATAGATAATTTCGAGGTATAGAGAAGATTGACCATTGTTGTCTTGACCATCGATTCCAAGTCTTGTAGGCGGAGGCCTACAATTTTTTTCCAGATAGATAATTTCAATTCATCCTCAAACTTCCTCACTATGGCCATATTTGTAGTCACATAGTCATCAGCAAAACGGGCTAACTCAGTGAACTTAGCCACATATTCCATCACCATCATGGTTCCTTGTTTCAATTCAAAAAATCTCGGGTTTTAGCATGTCGAACAGCCGCAGGAAAATACTTGCCCATGAAGAGCTCTTGAAACTTTCCCATGTCATTTCCTCCAAGTTTTTGGAGTCCTTCGCCTAATTCCACCACAGTTGGGCTTCCCCCTCTAATTGGAATGCAACTAGCCTTATCTTTGTGGCATCAGAGATGATCTTCATTGCCTCTACAATCTTTTCAACTTGTCGGAACCAATGGTCAGCTACCATCGGATCCGCCCCTCCCTTAAAAATTGGAAGCTTGTGTGTCTTAAACCTTTGGAGGTTACTCGAGTCTCATTGTCTCACATTTGCACTAGCCTGTGCAATCGTAGCATCCATAGTACCAATAGCCTCCATGAAGGCTTGTTGGTCAAAGGCCCGTGGTGGTTGATTATTGTTCCACCCACTATCTTGACGTTCACTTCCTCTATTTGTCATCTACACACATGTCAAACAACAATAGAGTACCAATTTAGTATCCCAAAGTATGGACCAACTTTGAAACTCTGAGATTCATCTCCTTGTTTTTCTAGTAGAACTTATGCCACCCACTAGTAGATCTTTACACCCTGAACTATCTCGTTCCTTTGTTTTCTGACCCCCAATATTATGTTTTCTAACCCTAGTGTTTTTTTTCTATATTTATTTTACCATGCATATCATTCACATAACATATAACACATAAGATGTATCATATTAAAGCACATAGCATGTAATGCACAATGAATACAATAGTCTAGACCCATGCCCCATCAACCCCTACGTAAATCGCATACCTAGACTCTGATACCAAGCTGTGACGCCCCTAAAATCGGGGGTCTTTTTTCAACCGTTGACCACTCGTCAACCCGATAAAAAAGTCCTACCGATAGATTTTGCCTGATAAACAAATTTTGCCTGTGAGAGATTCTACCAGTAGGTTCTACAGGTAGGTGTTGCCCATTGGACAGCGATCTACCGTTAGGTTCTGTCCAATTTTTCCTGTTTAACCTATTTTTCATTTTCAATCCATTTCAAAATATATTAACTCCATCCAACACATGTATATAAAGATTTTCATATTACATAAGGTCCATACACAATTTTAATACATTAATTCCATGAATTTAGGTATCAAAACAAGGTTTTCATAATCATTTACAAAAACTCAAAATTAAAGCCACATTCCGGCTTTCTTCATCCTTGATGTCCTATGTGAGGGCCTTCCATCGGCGCATATCCCACAACTAAAATATTTTCTCCGTATAGGATGAGCCACGCCCAATAGAGTATTTCTTACAGAAGTTACTCCCTAACCTAGATACATATAAAATGCTCACATGTAACACATAACAAGCAACAACCATTTCAATCAAGATTAAGCAAGTTTAAGTTGGAATCTAATATGTCATGTCATGATATGAGGTGATACCCACTCATGCAACTCAACTCAAGCCCTCCCTGGCTCCTTTTTTCCCCATGCAATGCAATGAGTATAAAACCCGGCTTTCCAAGCCCCTGCCATTGGCGTTACACACCCAATGACTATTTAAAGATCTCTAGGTCTTTATTGGAGTGGGTATTTATGGACTTACACCAATGACACCCAACCAACATGGAATTCATGGACTCTCACCAATAGTTCCGCGTACGCCAACACACTTTATGGACTCTTATACCAACGGAGTACGTATCCGATCACCAGGTCTCTCACCCAAGGGATAGTCTAACCCTTCTTACTAGCCCCAACTCAATTTTCATGCAACTGTACGACTCAGTCGAATTTTCAATCCAATTTTTTCGAGCCCACCCATCAACTACCAAGTATGGTGGTTTATTAAACCATGCACACACCTATACCTACACTTATGTCTCATGCCCATGGATGTGATGCTTCTGTTCAAATGCAATGTAATGCACCATTGTTATATTGATGTCATGCCCCATATGTAATGAATGTCATATGAGCAAATTTATCATATTTATACATATTTCATGGCAATTCATTTCCAAAGCATATAATTACCAATTTTATCATAATGTCGATATATTTATAAACATATATCAACATTTTCTTACCCAACAACAAATCACAAGCATGTTAGCACATAATTCATGTCAATAACACACTTAATTCACAAGGTAAATTCTACACACCCATTATAGGATAGGATTTATTCTACCTCTTTCTAATACCTATTTCATCAATTTCACCACAAATAGGCAAGTGATATATAGCTCTATCAACCTACCCATTTCATATAATACCCTAGGTTGTAAAATAAACCAAAGTAGGAAGGAACCCTACCTCTTGAAGCTTAAAATGCCATCAAGAAACTCCAAGACCTCAAAAATGAGCTAGAATCCCTAATTTCCAAAAATCTCGTTTCTTAATCTTCAGTAAAACCCACGCTTTTTGGTATAGCCGCTTAATCCTCGTTGAGGAGATAGACTTTTGTTCTTGGCCCGCGTTGATTTGAACACTCGATCTCCGTAGATTGTAGAGAGAATGTGGAGAGAACTTGAATTTTCCCTCTCTTCTTCTACAACATAAACCGGCTGATGAATATGAGGGAAAAATCAAATTATTCCCCCTTATATACTTCTTAATTTACTTGACCCACAACGCGCCACATTGCCCTCTTTTTTTCGAGTCCGTTTTAGCCTCGAAACGATTAAATTTCACTTCGGTTTAAGTTCAAAATATTTTTATTTTAACTTACGTCAATTTATTTTTAAAATTTTATTAAAAATCTCGTTTTTTGGTCACCCGAGACTCGACCGACCGCCTTGTAAAATGCAAAAAATTCGACTATCTCGGAATCCGATGAAATTTGACAAGGTAACTAGATTTCGCGAGAGAAATCCAGTGATAAGGTCTGTTTCTTCATCTGAGTCATAAAAAATTTTAGATTTACAACCTGTATCATAGTGATAAATTATTATTTTGCCTTTTTTTGTATAAAGTTCAAATTTACCCAGATTTTACAATGAAAGAATGGTGTTTCTTCCCTTTTGAGGGCTGGAGCAAATTTATGGTTGATAGTGTATTTCAAATATCTTAACTGAGCTTGAAAGTCTCTCATTTGGTCTCCCCAACGAAGAGAGTTGTCAGCTATTTCTTCTTGTTCCTATACCATTTACGGTTGTCAGGAATAGTTTGGGTCTAGTAAGGTTTCTTCGTTCTATTGAGGATGGGATGGATCACCATTAAAACTATTTCTCGCAGGATTGCCTATTTTATTTGGGAGATTGGGCAAGGCTGAAAGTATCGGAGCAACTAATAGTTATTGCTGGAGGATTACCTTGAGGGCTTCAGCAATTTCTTTCACCTGTTGGTCAACGCGACTATTTCACCCCATATTCGTTCGACAGAGACTTGGTTATCAGGCTGGTTCTCATATGGGTTTTCGGTTATGGCATTTTTGCTAATTTGGGGATTTTTGCTCGGGCCTGGTGGAGAGATCATAGCTAAAGTCTTAAAGAGGGTTGAGAATCAATATTTCAAAAAGACTGGGAAGTAGTCGTTTCCCATAGACGACGCCAACTGATGGAGCAATCAGTAAATA